CTGGGTTCCTGATCATCCTCCTGACCCCTTGCCAGGGGCCCCTGGTGTTGTCCCCTAACCCAGCGGACCCCTCCCCCTGCAGGCAGGGACCTGCCTCCGTTCCTGCTGGCCCAGCCGGGAGCCTGCCTATGGCGGGTGCTCAGCACAGACCCCTGAACTCTGACCCGCTGCTGGGTCAGGGGTCCTAAGAGGCTCCGAACCTGGGGAGGGGGGCCGGTGGGGGTGCTGGGGCCTGGGAGAAGTTCTGGGCGTGCCCTGTGCTGGAGCAGCGGCCAGGCCCTGCCCAGGTGAGGGTGGGGGAGTGGAGGAGGACGAAGACATTGAGGGAAAGTGGGGGCACAGCCAGCTCCTGCAGGCTTGGGCCCCGCCCCCAGGCTGTGGGCGCCCTCCTGTGGCCACAGAGGGGCAGCAGGGATGGGGGGGCGGGGGCTTTTCCCGGAATGAGGCCCCAGTGCAGAGGTGGGAGGGGGCTGCCCACAGCTGGATCCCATCAAGCCAGATGCTCGACTGGAACATTCCTGCGGTCGGGCGTGCATTCTTTCCTTCGTGGAGAGAGCCCCCGTCCGCCGTGGGCAGCCCCGAGGCCTGCGCCCTTTGCTCCGTCTTCCACCTTTACAGCGGAGGAGCTGCTATCTGTGAGCCCTGCCCAAAGCAAACATCCCCACCCATCCTGCGCCCACTGCCCAGAGCGGCTTCCTTCCCTGTGAGTCACAGGGCCCCCTCCCCAGCCCTGACTCACTGGCGGGGCCCCAGCCCAGTGCCCCCTGCTTCCCCCAGCCTCTCCCCCAACACAGGGCAGAGTTCCTGCAGCTCAGGCTGGGCGGTCCTGCTGGTGAGTCAGCGCTCAGCTATGCGCCGCTCTGCCCACCGTGGGCTCTGCAGACGGGGTGCAGCGGGATGGGCAGCTCGGGAAGCGCCAGGCCTGCCAGCAGCGGAGTGGCCCACAGTGGGCCTATGAGGAGGTGGGGTTTAGGGGGCAGTAGCCCCCCCCAGGCCAGGAGTCACGGTTTAGGGAG